TAGCAGACGCCGCCTGAGGGGCTTCGGGGATCTGTTCATACCGGAGAGGTCACGACCTCATAGTCTGCAGGGGAGAGGTGATTGGTCATATTGACTTCAGCCTGGAGAGGGTAGATATACAAAATGTAACCAACAAAGGGGGACCATCGCATTACAGTTACTAAGGCTGAGGAGAAGAAGGTCTACTGTGTACAGCTTCTTCAGACACTTTCTAGGTTTTTAATTCTCTCTTACAGGAATTCCTCTTTTACCTTCGCCCTCTATCTTCTGAAAATAGCAAGTAGGATAAGTGGCGTCGGAATGAGGAGACTAGGATGGAAGATCTGAGGTAACTTGAGGTCAAGGGAATAAGAATATGGATAGAGAGAGAGAGAAGGTGAAAGAGAGGGTGAAGAAAGAGACATTTAGGCCAGTCGATGTAGATTAAACAGGAGCAGAGAATCCCCCCCACCATCATTAAAACTATGTGCTAGCTTGAGCACAGACAGTGACTGGACTGTTGGGTCCCTCGCTGGGTTTTTTCTGCTCCAGTGAGCCGACCAGCTTCCATCCTCCCCTCCAGTAGGAAACACAGAAAAGGCTTTTTGTCTCCAGCGTCCTCAATGAGAGAGGTCGTTGTTAATGTCCACAATCACTGACGCTGACCACTTACCCCTCATTGTTGCACCGGGGGCTTCGCTAAAATATGTCATTTCGTCACAGCTGCCGTCCATTATCCTGTGTTTTGTGTTTAAAGAGGTCAGTGTGCTCTTGTGATTTCCTTGAAGGTTTTGATTCCGCATGTTGGAAATATGGGATTCTCACTGCTTTTGCTTTAGAAATAATTAAATTATACTGTACAGATGTGGCTTTTGCATGTTTTATAACTTGCTGCTTTGGTAAAAAAAACTTGATCATTGGAAAAGTTTTCATGCACATGCAAAAATATTTCAATGTTAGGGATTCAAACTATTTGATCAACTCTTGTCATAGTGACAGAAAAGAAGAGATGGCTGTGTGAGAGCAAAGCTCTGATACCGTTTGTCTGGTGGCTAATCCATTAATCAAAGCTTTCCAATCCGGGCTAACGGGACTTTTAACAGGATTAGAGCGTTGATCGGCACACACAGAGGCACACAGAAGACACAAACACAGCCTCCCAGCCAGATACTCGAGGCAAACAATCCCCTAAATCACTTTATACTGATAATCAAATCAAGACTAGAGGGTGAGTAACCCTCATTGGGTGCTCTCGCTGCTCTTTGGCATCACTGTGACACAGCAAAGAGAGAGAGGGATCATGTCATGTCAGGAGCGTTCTGAGTGGATTTGAACACAGTTCACGAGTGTGTTAGTGTGTTAGGAAGTGGGGTGTGTGCTGGTGTAGCGCCACACTTCTCCTGTCAGCACATACAGCGACTAGGAAGATCATTTAAATGCAAATGGGGCGACACTGCAGTCAAGCATCACACACACAGCGAGAGTATTTTTTAACAATAATAGTCGGGCGGTATTCAAAGTCTCATCCATTCAGGGATAACAATATAATCTTTCTCCCAGGCTCCCAAACAGCTGCTTGTGTGTCTCTGTATGTGTGTGTGTGTGAGAGAGAGTACACATCCACGTGCATGTGCTCTTTATTTCATTATTTCTTTCGGATGAGAGTACGTGTGTGGGTGACTGCTGCTGCGGCTCTGTGTTGCCATGGTGACAGTTGAACTTCAAGCTGAGGTTGAGGCTTCTACTGTAGTTGAAGTAGATGCTGTTGCATAAGGGCGGCAGAGTAACACACAGCTACACACAGATACACACCATGTGAGGCTCCTTTTGCACTGTGGGTGTGGGTGTGTGTGTGTGTGTGTGTGTGTGTGTGTGTGTGTGTGTGTGTGTGTGTGCGTGCGTGCATATGTGATGAAACAGCAGCATGAGGACTGCTGGTGTCACGCTATCGCCCCTCAGGAGACAGACAGAGAAAAAAAAGCACGGAGGCATGACGATGAATATTTCATGAGCTCTACTACATAAACAAAAAAAAGTCTGATTCAGGTCATTTTGAGTAGTGTATAGTTTTTTTGGTTTTCTTAAATCAGGTTTAAAAAAAACTTCAGTAGGGTGAAAAGTTTTTTGAATCTAGTTGAATGTTTAAAGAATTAAAGTTCCTTTTCAATAGTACAGTTGAATATTGGTTGAAAATGATTTTTATTATAAATTCATTAACAGGATATTTTCAACATAAGTATGTCAAACTGTCTTTTGAAACATGCACCAAAAACAGGCCATTGTAAAGTGAAAAGCCTGAGAATGAGACCCAGCACGTAGTTATGATGCCCGTCTGCTATCTAGTGTCTTTATTGTAAGCACGTCCTTGAATCAAGTGTAATTTCCTTTTGACAAGTGGACTGTGAAAACATTTGTTTCGTCCTCTCACTTCATGATATTCACTTGTTTTTAATCACATGATCTTAATGCAGCAAATTCAGCGGGGCCCATGTCGTCTCCGGCGCAGAGAGTCAGACTGATACAGTGGGAGGCAGAGATGGTGGAGTACGATCACTGACATTGTCAGAGGAATAGAGAAAGTGAGCTGTGAGAGCCAGAGAGGAGAAAAAGATGAAGTAAGAGTTGATGGAGGGAGGACGGGGCGGCCATAATACAGCAATTAGTTCCACTACCCTCCAGTCCCGGCTCTGCCCTCTGTCTCCCTTTGATCGCTCTAATTTTAACAATTAAAATACATTGTTTCTACAATGAGGGATTTAACTCATTAGTAGCTGCTCACTATTCAAGTAGTCCTTGTTTCCTAGTTTACTTCAAGACATGCAATGAAATTGATAAGAAAACAACAATAGATGTGTTTTGCATTTCTGGGCCAGCCTGATACATTATATATCAGTTGTTTGCATGCAATTTGCATATATACACTATACATTATGGATGGGATGGATTTCTGAATGTTCTGTTTGTGTGTTTAGGATTATGCACACACACTGAACTAAAGTATGAGCCTCCTGCACCACTGTTGTTGTTGTTGTTGCTTGTCTGTTTTTTTTTTAATGTTCCTCCAGTAGGTGTGGGGCAGAAATTGGTGCAGGAGATGATGAAGTGTGTTTGTCAGTGTGTGTGTGTGTGTGTGTGTGTGTGTGTGTGTGTGTGTGTGTGTTGGAAGCCCTGACTTAAAGCCAGGCTGTTGGGAGAGTCATTAGACTGGCAGCACAGCCTCGTCTTGAGGCTTAATTACCACCTTTAGCCCTGTAGATTCTCTCACACTTACACATACCTTAGCTGGTCGCCCTCCAGAGACCGCCCCATAAAAGCAGGCAGCAGTTTGTTGACTACTGAGGTATGGAGTGCCAGAAGGTGATAACAGTGTAAACAACGTCTCTGCAGAAGGCTGCCATGTTCCAGCTTGTCTCTTTAGAAGACGCAGTAACTGGCACAGTCAGCGGACGCCTGGTGACCAGAGAAGAATGAACACTTTGACTAGAGTCTGAGTGTGTATGAGTGTTCTGTCTCTGTTTGTGCTGGTGTAATGAGCGCCTGGGGGATATCAATAGACTATTACGAATCAGACACAATCTGATAATGTTGCATTTCATGACTGTCTCAGCTCTCAGATAATAACGACGCCCAAAAGAAAGCAGCTGAACACCCTTCAACAACACGGGCTGGTGTTGGGATGTGGGGTCTTTAATCTCTGTGGGATATTCATCCCAGAGCTCGTTTAAAGCAAAATCTCCGCGGTTTGAGAAATGCGCTCATTAGCTGTCTTGATATAATAGTTGCCAAGTTTGGAGCAAGAGTCCATGTGTGATTAGCCTTGTTGGCAGAAAGACTGGGAATTGGGGGGCTAACACAACCGTCTCCAAAGTTCAACTTTAATTTCAGCTGAATTCAGCAAATAAATGGAGTTAGGTTTAATTATAACCTTTGGATAAAGCCAGGCTAGCTGATTTCCCCTGCTGCTGATACACACTGTATGCTACGCTAGTTAAAATCAAGACCAACTTCAGGTTTAAACCAACCTCTAGACAAATAAGTCTATTTTACAAAACCTGAAACTATTCCTCTGATTTGTTTCAAGTGTTTGGACAGTTATGAGACAGGAGTTGACTATAAATATTCATCCTTTTGATCAGTTTAATTACAACGTATTAATGTTAGCCACTAACCTGAACTGGTAAGTTTAGGACTCTTTATCTATCAAAAGAGAGACAACCAAAAGGTGATCACATGGAGGACAAAATATCCCAATTATCTGGCGGAATAAGAAAGTCAGTTAAACCTTCTATTTTATTTTATATAAAGAAACTGTGCACTCTTTATAATCTGCACCATTGAGAGCCTGATTGTCTGAGCCACGTCAGTTATGTTATATTATTAGCATGATGTATGAATGAGTTAGAAACGTTTATGTCATTATGCACTCTCAGGTTCTTCGCTGAGAGCTCTGCAGGGTTACGCATTATCCTCCATATGAGACTAATGATGCTCATGATGATTTTCATTTACCTGTATGTCGTTTTGTTTTGTTGCTGCAGATGATGATGCGATCCTGTTATTATTCAGTCTGAAAGCTTTTGAACTCTCACGCTCTCGAGAAGCTGTTTTTAAATTATGCAAATAAAATTAAGAGTCATCGTGTTTTTGGAAGCTCAGTCTCAGATTTTCTCCTGCACTGAATATCTGCAGAGAGCTCAAGACAGAGCCAGCTTCACTCATTCAGCTCGTCATGTGGAGCTGCGACCTGTAAGATTTTCCTGGTGGATTTTTATATTTTTGATCAATCACAAATAAATTTTGAAAAAATGACCTGAAAATAAATTCACTTAAATTGGCCAGAGGTCAAACACTCAGAGATTATAGGAAAAATCCACATTTCCCAGAAAGATTTTTCAAATATTAACTATTATAATTGATGAACAATGAATTTTCTGTCCTTATTTCATGATTTTTGTTGCACAACATCCACAAACAATGCAGCATAGTTATGTTTAACATCAAATATCTTTGTGTTCATTCAGGTGCTGAAGATCAGTCTCATCGGACACAGAAAACGGATCCTCGCCTCATTGGGGGACCGGCTACACGAAGACACCCCACAGAAACCTCCTCGGGCCATCTCCCTACGGGTGAGTGAGTCTCAGTGAGCGCTGCAGATACCATGTGATGTGAACCATGAACACCCCTGATGATATCTAAACCAACGAAGATTCAATTAATTAAGGGTTCATTAGTCAGAAAAAACGGCACTCCTTCCTTCCCAGATGGCTGAGTGTTTCTGAGGGAGCTTCAGATTCCCCAAGTCTCTCAGGCAGGCAGGCAGGCACAAAATGGCCGACCCACTGCGGTTTCCTCCCTCCTGGCCCGTCTTGGATACTAATCACAAGAAACTGGTTTTCCCCCTCTCTCCCTTCAGGTTACGCTCTAATGGTCCTTATTATCCTCTCTTGCTCTTTGCAAAGTGAGGCCTTCTGCTTCTGTGTCGATACGATAATTCTTCTCTTTTCTGTGCAAATGTGCAGCCCAAACCATCCACAGCATTTCAACATGTCCCTTTGAGATGAGCAGTGATGGATCAAGTTTAAAAAAAAGAAGAAGAAAAAGTCAATTAAACCAATGATAAAGAATACAAGATTAGAAAAAGGTGCAGATCGTCGCATTTGAAGGCTGGAACAATCAAATGCTTAGTAACTCTGCTTATTGTTTCCAAACTAAATCAAGAGTTGCCACTGGCTTGTTGTAATGAAAAAACAAAGCAATATGGTGCTGCATAGTTTAATACAAGCTTAGAGGATGTTCTTCAGCGGTGTTTTCTTCCTGTGTGTGAGCGGAGGGCTGTGTTTACTCAGTTAAACTGTGGAAGTATTCAGAGTAATGAATGAGCTGAACATGGCTCATCATGAAGCTTCTACAGCCTAAAGGAGCTGAATATAAATGGAAAAGTCCTGGAAGAAATGAGACTGGTCTCACATGTAATCAAGTCAAAGTGGATAACCTCTCAGGAGAACTATCTGACCTTCTAGGGTGTAAGACTTTTACACCATTAAAACTTAAGGAAAAGGACTCGTTCTTGTGGGAGTTGAAGTCTCCGCTTGGCTTGGAAAACCTCTTAAATGAACATCTTTTTCCACTTTAAGGATTCGGGCGATGCTTTCACTTCAAGTGACAGTGAGCTTCAGCGCAGCGTTAAAGTAACTCTGGTGGACCTGCTGAGACCACCTCGTGAGAGGACGGTGTCTGTGTCCCCGATTTTACAAAGCACTTTTTAAGATACCGGCACTCAGCAGAATGTTCACACTGTGGCTGAGAAATGAAATGTGACAGCGCACAGTGACTGTCCTACTTCTGCTACTAGCGGCAGTGACACAGCATATTATGAAATGATGAATGAACCTTTTCTCTCTTCCTCCCATCCCCCCCCCCCCATCTGTCCCCAGGAGCCCGTAGGGAACCACACTCCTCCCCAGCTCAGCCCTTCAGTGGGCCAGGCGGCGTACACGGCGGGGGTCCCGGGCGGATCTCTGGACGTGCAGCACCTCATCATGCAGGCGGACGCCCGGCGCAGGCAGCGCAGCAATGACAACTACTTTGACGACGTGCCGCGATCCAAGCTGGAGCGACAGATGGCCCAAGTCAGCATGGTGAGGACGGAGGACAGGTTGGAGGATGAATGGAGGAGAGAGGGAGACGGGGGGGGATGGACAGGAGAGTGCTGTGAATGGTTAGAGACAGAGATGTTGTTGGCTGGATGAACAAGTATATTTATATTACCATTCTTTATATCTATAATTCTCCACAGACAGCTTTTGAGTTTAATCTCTTTTATTGTTAAAATAATTAAATGAAAACAACATGGAGCTGTTCTCTTTAACACCGTAGTTTATTTCATGCAATGCCCACATTTACAGTCCTGCTGCGAACACTCAAAAGAGAGACAAACGTGTATTCATCCGCTGCAGAAATTAGTCCCCCCAACAAATGCTTCATTCTGTCCTGTGGCATGGTTGTTTGGGGGGAAATACTGAGGAATTTTCCAAGAATGAAACTCCATATTTGTGCAGCTTTTTTAAGACTTACATCCTGAGAATGCTATTGGGCAACAAGGTGAAGAAGTCAGAAAGTATTAGTTTGAAGTCTCAATCTATATGGGACAGTAGACAACAAGAATCTAATTGGGTAGTTGTCCTTGAAATCGAATAATAAAGAAAGATAAAACATGGGTTTAATTGATATTTCCAATTTTATTCTGTGTTTTTACTCATTAGAATATAAACTAATAAGCTGTCAGGCTTTATTGCATTCCTGATAAGGCAAATACTGATCATCAATGAAGCGTTCCAGTAATAAAACGTTGGCCCCTAATAAGTACAGGATGTAAGCCAAAGTGTTTTATCAGCCTGTTTATTTGTTGGAAATTCACCATTAATAAACTGCAGCAGGCCGACCATCTGACACCAGCAGCCGTCAGTAAACATGAGATCTATGTCTGAAACTTTGTGCTGTAAAAAGAAAAGCTATGCAGACAGCAATCAGACTTAATGTATATACAGCTTTAAGAAAAAGATAGAAGGCTCCAGTAGTTAACCTCTTACAACTAAAGATTGTTCTGAGTAAACATGTTGTACTTTTTTATGATAAGCGTATCAACTTTCCAGCATCAATTACACTTCTCCAAACCTAAAATTAGAGCTTTATGATTACCAATCAGCAACGCTCAATGACTCAGACACACTCACTTCAATGTGTGTGCGCACGTCGGAGAGCAGCAGCTGTGTTTTGATTCGCTCTGATTAGAGTCCCTTTTTTTTTGTGAATCACAGAGTTTATGGGTACAGATTACCACACTTTGGGTTACCCAGCTGAAACTTAAGTGTGTGTGCATCAGTGTGAATCCCATTTTTAGAAGCAGTCCTCTGCGGTGTAACGATGAGTCAGCATCTCCAGAATAAACTGATAAACTATTACAGAAAAGCTGAATTTAATTACCCTTATTCTCTAAATGTAGCTACATGAATGTTTCCCCCTCACCTTCTGTTCGCCCTCTTTTTTAAAAAAATCTAATCATGAAAAAGAGCAGCAGTTCAGAGCTATTTCTGCACATTCTTCTCCTCGTGGTGATTCATTCTAAAAGTTAATGCAACTGAAGATTTCCGGCTGAATCTGTAGGTTGTACGTTTGTAATAAGGTTACGCTGTTTGAATGTAGATTTGGCCGATGCTTGTTTTTCCGAAGGCTTATCCCCGGCTGTTTATCAAACATCTCTGCATGTTATCAGAAGATCTCACCTCCACAGTGCCTCGCCAACCTTCTCACAAGGATTACACACGAGAGCAAGCAGATACCAGAGAGACACATAAACTCACGGCTACAGGATGTGTGCATACCTCCTTACTCAGGAATTCATCTGGTTTTATTTAGCAAAGAATGGAGGACCATTAAAAGAGACTTAATTGTTATTTCAAGACATTTTAGAAGCGTGCAGGTGAGATTGAGGTATTTCCTTTAGGGGGGAGAGGGGAGAGATCCAGGGGTGACAAAGCGGTGAGTCTGAGAGAGAGTGGGAGAGTGGGAACGTTCAGAAGCGGAGCATAATTCACGTTTAATGTTTAATTTTCCTCCTGCGATGTTCTCTGAAGCGTGATCACTTTGAAGGCCGTGTTCGTGTTCCGTCAGGAAAAGCTGCCTCGTTCTGAACTTACACATTTGTCGAGCCAACAACTTGTCAACATGGGATTCACAGCACAAGCTCTCCTGTCATGCAGCATCTTGTAATCTGGTGTGAGCCTATCGGGGTCCTGATGTGTGATTGGTTTTGTCGTTTCAGGCAGGCGAGTGGTGCGAGCCCATCACGTTGCGTCCACCCAACGAGGCCACCTCGTCCACCCCGGTGCAGTACTGGCAGCATCACCCGGAGAAGCTTATCTTTCAGTCCTGTGACTACGAGGCCTACGTGAGTCTGAATCCCTTCATCTTAATACTCTCTGTGTCTTAGTGCAAGCACAGGTCGTCAGCCTACAACTTAATGAGGAGTTTTCCAATCTGCAGATACTTTTATATATTTATTCATTTATTTTATTTTATTTCTTGAAAGTAAAGGTGATTAAATTACATGTTGCTTCAAATGAAATGTCCCAAACCAAAGAAATGGTTCTGCTCCTGTCATAAGGGACAAAGGTGAGAAACAAACATTCACATTTGAGAAGCCAGAACCTGAAAATGTTTGCTTCCATTGCGTAAAGAAACTTTACTTTTTTAGTTCTCAGAACAGTTGTCTGATCGACTGCTGATTGGCTCGTCAAATACTTGATTTATCAATAGATTCTTTAAGGAAGAATATCAAAGATCACAGACTCTATACCACACTCAGTCTCAGTCAGAGCTGCACTCAGATGTTCTCAGCACTTTGGTAAATTTAGACATACGGCAGTTATATAAAGGGAGTTATATATCCAAGTTACCACGGATACCTTGCACCTCTGATGGGTTATAAGCTCAGCTTCCAGACTGGAATGATTACCTTCTCGGAGCAGGTAAAACAGTGCAGAAAAGCAATTTGAAACTCCGCTGGCTCTTATAGACAAAGAGGGGGAATGTAATATTTCTTACATGTGAGCTGGATGGTTTCGGTACGAGGGAGCAGGAGGAGTGCAGGATAGAGATGTTAGAGAGAGAGACCGAATTCAGTGTGATGCTGAAATCAAATCTGAATGAACTGCAAGGAGAAGATGAGAAAGAGGCAGCGAGGAAGAGATCCAAAAGATATGTCGAAAAGAAAATCTTTACTCTTTCGTTTTTTCTCACCTCAGAAGTTTGAGAGTAAAAAATGTGACGCATTAGGCTTCTGACAGATGTTCGACTACACAGTCGCATAGAGGGGAACACACAGCAGGGAGGGCCATCAGGGGAAAATATAGAGGTGCTTTCATGGAGCCATTTATGACAACATCTCTAATGCCCGCCGTCCCAGGACAGCCGGCTCCAGAAAGCTCAGAAAGTGAGATAAATGAGCGGGAGCCACAACAGAGGGAGACGCAGAGCACTCAGGATGAATATTGTCAAGCTGGAGGCAGACGGAGAGAGTGAAAAAAGAATAAAGGAGATGGATAAGACAGTGATGAGAGAGGAGAGAGAGAGAGAGAGAGAGAGGAGCCTATTGTGTTAATAGAGAAAAAGGAGGACAGTAACAAGCCAAAAGGATGCAGCAGTGCTCTCATTTTCATCTCGGGCTCCAAATAAACAAAAAGCCCTGCTCCTCTTTCAGCACAAACCCATGACATCTAAACTTTACTGGGTCAGCTTTGAGCAGAGCTAAAAATGTGTTATCTCAACTTATTACAAATCCATAACAAGGAAAGGCCTGCAGACGTTTTAATAGCATTACTTCACTCTACATCAGGAACAACTCATGTTCTCTAAACACTGACTCTGTGTGTGTTTGATATTAACATCAAAGCTTCTGTGGATACATCAAATATAGAAATATCAGGGAGCTCTGATACTGAACTTTAGTTTACTTTACTCCTCTCGCTCCGTCATAATATTAAAAACGACAGTGTTTTAGAAAAAGAGTCACAGTTTTCAAGTCTATCTTCAATAAATATTAGATCAGTTGCACATATGAAGTATTTAATCGCTCGTATTTGCTGAATTTGTTTTCTTACCTGATTTTTTTCCAAACATGAACGCCGCCTGAAAACGCCTAGTCATCACATTTCTTTCCTTTTATTCAAATTACCATCTGTCTAAGACTTTAGTTAATGACTGACAACTTTGCTATGATCAGCCTTGATTTAACTTTCATATGAAGTACATATTATAATGTCAGCGTGCATATTAGCGTGTTAGCGAGCTGGCACACTAATCTAAGATAATGGTAAAACATCAACATTTGGCATCGTCTCCACTGTGACTGTTGCCTCGTACTGATGTTAGCATGCTATTAAAAGCGGCACCATGCTGGAGTGAAGCCTCACAGAGCTGCTAACATAGCTGTAGAAAGTTAGTCCCTGCTGTATTACAGACGTCTTCAATTTAATCTAAGACCTAATAACAGACTCGTGAAGTTGCAGCTGGCCTTGAGTGCAGCTGTAATGCAATTTCTAGGAGAACTGCCAGACACCCTGCCATAACAACGATTCAAGATTGTTAGCGAGGATCAAGATAGAGTATTAAGATGCCCAGATGACCTCCTTCTGATCTGACAAGGACCAGACACACAAATTGAAAATATGACTGAGTCACAGGCAGTGCCATCACGCAGAGCTATTTGCCCCAAAATGATGCTTTAGCTCCAAAAATCCAAATTAAGATCTCATCTGAGAGGTGGATATTCAGCACTGTGGTCTCAGACTCCGGAGTCATTTATCGTCGAGTCTGACGGGGAGGGAAAAAAGCTGTAAATATAAGTGTTCTGATTCACTAAAAGCCCTCCTCACTATGAGAACTAAGGCCTCTTAAATAAGCAGGGAGGTGATGTAAGGTGGTGAAAGTCACACCCATTAAGTGCTCTAATGTCCACATAAATATCGTCCCCGTAAAACACTGTCACCATTAGTGGCTTCTTTATTAAATCAGATCGGTACGTGTGCAGAATGTCTGACCTCAAAGTCTCATCCAGAGAGGAGAAGCAGCCGCACTCTGGTGTTAATGTCCCTCCAGGTGGATGTAATCACTGCTCTGTGTCTGCGTGCATTTAATCAACATGTGTGTGGGTATGGCTGGATGTTAAAATGGCATTACTAAACATATCAGTTCTCATGTGTCACGTAGGAAAACATGGCATTAGAAATTAAATTAATAGGTACATAAAGGTAAATAAATAAAAAAGTCAAAATGCATTTTCAGAAGACATCGACTTCTTTTTTTTAAGGTAGGCTCATTTTTATTTTTCACTTCCTGTGTAGACTCCCACCTCATGCCACCCACATCATCATGGGGCGAGCTCTCTGTCGAAGTCGAGGCTGCGCCGCTTGGATATTAAGACCTGACCACGTTACACTGTGTAAACTGGACGTGTTATTTTAAATAAGACGCACTGATTGTGAAAATCAGGGCTAATACCAGATACAGATGTTAAAAATAAACCAATTAACCAATAGCAGATTGTGATGTTTTTATCATCACTTCTTTGTCTGTTTTTCCAAATGAGCGACGTGATTATCATGTCTTACAAACTGCTCGTCGCTGATCTTTCCCAGAGAGATGGTGTAACACTCCCACACTGCCGACATTTTCTTTCACATTCAAAGATATAAAAAAAAGTCCAACAGGGGACTTCTACTGACCAATCAAATCCTCTCCTCTGAATCAGGAGTTAGGTAAACTAGCTACCAGCATTACACACAGTAGACTGACATCGGTGCATGTCACATTTACAGGTTTATGTCCGATAACGACCAATACCAATGTACAGGACCATCCTTACTTTGCTATAAAATGGGCTGTGTAGTCCTTTTCTTACTGCTGAAGCAGGTTGTGTTAATGTGAATACAGACAGCATCATATGCTGGGTAACAATGCTGTTACATTGCTTATTTGTCATTTGCCAGTGTAGCTCTGAGTATGTCTCCATAATGAAGGGGTTAAGCAGGATCACCACGGCTACAAGCTGATTGCATGAAGGCAGCTGTCAGCAGCCATGACCTGAGCGAAGTGATGCAAACACTGATGTCATCCTCCGTGTCATTTCCAGTATCTTTGAGCTTCCTTTTGAGAGGTCTGCTCTGATTGTTCCGTCGTCCTCACAATCAGAGGAGGACCGTCACTGCAGCTCCACTCAGTCATTTCTTTTCAGGGTTTATTGGTAGAACTGAATCAGAGTGAGTCACATCATCTTCTGGAAGGTTTCAGACCTGAGAATGAATCTTAATCTGAAAACAAATTCAAATGGAATTAAAGTTTTTTTTGCATTTTCGGTATTTATCTTGCAAAAATATTCAACATTTCCTGGTTCTAGCTTCCCAAATGTGAATTGCTTCTGGTTCAAGGTGCACAAGAACAGTATTTGGCTGTACCGGCAAGTTCATGTGAAGAGCGACCCACCAGCTACTAGACATGACGAGGCTCTCATGGTTAGAACGCTTCATAGGCAGCCATGAACAGACAGTCACTTGTTTATTCATCAGAGCATACTGTCTGTGTTTCTTTTCACAGTACCTGGGCTCCATGCTTGTGAAGGAGCTGAGAGGAACAGAGTCCACACAAGACGCCTGTGCCAAAATGAGGGTAAAGAAAAAAGCCTCACACTTCTCTTCACTTCTGCTTTTGACTGATTTATTCACGTTTCGCGCTGAGAACACAGCGAGGACACTTAAAAAGAACACGACCGCACGTGGCTGTAACGTGTGGCAACATTATATAAATGTTTTCACCACAAAACCTGAGTGGAGCCTTAAATCTGGGACACAGTCTCAGCGTGATGCCTCCCACTCACACTTAAACAAACTTCGAGTATCATGACGGTGGATTTGGTGTAGTGAGGGATTCATTTTTTTAATATCCTTGCCTGTGTGGCTTGATAGCTCATGACCCGCCTTTTACCGCCAACAGCTTATTATCTATCCCTTTCACTTTGTGTCGTTCTGATGCTCTCTCTCTCTCTCTCTTTTTCCTTCTTCTCCGTTTTTATCCCGTCTCCTGCTCTCTCACATCTTTTCTTCCTGCTCACTCACTCTACATATTTTACAGTAACACTGTCTCTGCTCGTTTCTAGCCCTCGGTTCACATCTCTCACTCTCATCCCGAGCTGCTGCAGTGTGAAGATAAATTTTAATATTCATGAGCAAAGCTTCTGTTCCTCTCCCCTCCTCCATCTTTCCCTCTCTCTCTCTCTCTCTCTCTCTCTCTGTATTTATGTTTTTTATATTAGAATGCATCTTTCCTTTCTCTCCTTTCTCAGTATGAGACACCTTTGGGGCACACCAAGGTCGTAATTATATCGCGCATCATATCAATCTGACTTTTATAACCGCGTCTTCTTCCTTTGCTCGCTCGCCCCTCTTCCCCAGCATTCCCTCCTTTCATCTGTCCCTCCATCGCATCCACCGTGGAGGTAGATGTGGATACTTAAATCCCATCTGCACCGCCTCTAGCTGTGTATCAGCGCTGCTTTTGTCAGCTTTTCTCCACTACCTGATCCTGACAAGGCCGAGCTGCAGCAAGCAACACGCGGCAACCAGGGAGGAAGGAAAGGGAACAAAGACAAGGAAGTGATAGTGAAAGGAAAGCAGCGAATAGATTCCACAATTCAACATGAGAGAGAGACATGGGGGATGGAGAGAGATAGAAATACGGACTCCGAGATGTTTGGATGACAGGTGATTAAAGATAGAAAGTGATCAAAAAGAAAGCAGGGAAGGGACTCATCTCATTTCTATCTTACTGAATATATTGAATCTCTGGCAGGTAGGATGATAGCTCAGGGAGTGACGCCAGTTTGGGTGTAAATCACACGGATCTTCTCAGCACATCTCTGCATAATGACTTTATATATAGGTTATTGAGACGCGTTAAGGTGCCGATATGTAATTAAAAGGAAGGAGGAGGGTCTGACGTGGCTTACAAGCTGAAAGACTTATTGGATTTCCAGCACCACATATGATCAGGTGTAGTAATGTATCCAGGAGAGAACACTTGAGCCTTTGGAGATGAGTAAAATCGACCTTTGTGATCGAGGAAGAAGTCATCAATATTGTTTTGAGTAGCTAATTGAACTTTTCTTCGCTTTCACACCCCAACACAAGCTCCCTGACATGGACTAAGTTGTGTTTAAATTATAATAGTATACAATTCAGCAGAGATTTTAACTTTTTTTTAAATTATTATTCGTTTATTTAAACAGGAACACATGCAGTAAACATTGCTTCATATGTTAAGCACAAAGTAGATGCCATGCATTAAGGTTTTAGCGTTGGCTAATTTGCAAAAGAAAATACAGAAACATTGATGCGATACAAATACAGACATTATGAACTCAATACAAATAAGAGACTAAATGAGATTAAACAGCAAAACAATTATTCTAAGAGGAAACCTTCAATTTTTCAACACAATATGTATGAAAATCAAACTATATTAAATCCTCTGGCCCAGTAGACTAGTGGTCAGTGCTTCCATCCCAAGTACGGAGGCAATTGTCCTCCAAGCGGGCGGCCAGGGTTTGAATCAGACCTGTGGCTCCTTTCCAGCATTACATTCCCCCACTCTCTCTCTCTCTCTCTCTCTCTCTCTCTTTTCCTGCAGCAGCTTTTGATATAAAGATGATAAAAATATGAGTGAAGATCTGAAGGTTTTTAGAGCTTCAGTTTTTTTTTATTCTATTGTAGATTAAAATAATAGAAACTATCTAAATGTATGAAAAGTAGACAACATTTTGAAAACCTTAGTACCCAGCTGAACTTCATTCATCTGTGACTAATTTCAGTTTCTCTACTGTGGGATGAAGATTGTTACCGCTACAGATTGTTTTTTTCTTCTTCATTTCTTTAACAACAGTGTGCACTATTTCCCACCTTAAAAGTCATCGCTGCCTCTCTTTCTCTCTCTCTCCTTTTTGCTTTTTTGTGCGCGCCAAGAAGTCGACAGAACAGATGAAGAAAGTGCCGACCATCGTGCTCTCTGTGTCCTACAAGGGAGTGAAGTTCATAGACGCCACGAATAAGGTAACACTCACAGCTCCCGCTTCCTGCTGTAAATAACACATCAAAGGTCAGCCTTTGAACACGAGTGACATTCAGAGGTGTCAGAAATGGACAGCATAGCAGTGCTGATGTTTGCCTCTGCTGCAGACTGGTTTCAAACTGTACTGTGTAAAAATCGATGCGGCGTAAAAGAGGGCAAACACAAAGAGAGGCGATAATCCGTATGGAATAGATTGAGCTGATGTTGAGAAAATCAATAAGAGCCTACTCAGTTTAATAGAATATTCATAAGGCTGAAGGAGAAACGCAGACTCCAGGATTCAGTTTTCTAAAACACGTTATTTCACAGTTGATCAGCACTGGTCCAGAGTGAGAGATGAGTGAAGGCCAGGACCAGTGTGTCTCTATTTGGACAGAAAGAAGTGTTTTTTTACGAGTGGATTTGTAACCAGTTTGAGAGCTGATCTGTGCCACATGTGAAAACACTTTTGATGGAGATGTTAGCAGGTTCACAATTTCGCACCAAGGTGTCAATTATTCCTATCAGGTAGTGACTCCCAATCCGACGTGTAAAACATTGGAACATGAAACCTTTGGGTAGAAAAAAACATGTCACAGTAAGAAAATATGAATGTTTTATTTTTATTAGAAGTACTGGAGTGTCCACTCTACCTTTACATACACTTTGTTATGTTAGTAAGTAGTTCATTATTTCCCTCCTCTTGGCTGGGCATTATTACATGACACAAATAGGTGATAAAATGTGTTGTTAGTGACTCTAATTAGTCCACCAGGTAATCCTAACTCATGTTGCATTGTCCCTCTGCCCACTCAGAGACATTTCTCAGTATGTCCAACAGCTTCAAGTCATCAGATCCTCCTGTGGCTTATATACCTGCTACAGTATGCTAAACATCAACACATATTAACAATCGATTAGCTGATTTCTTATGAAGGAATCGAACACAAAGATAAAACAGTCCAGTATGAGCAATGGTGCTCCCCTAACAGCAGCCGTCTCTGAAACACTTTCTCCTCTTTTACGAATCACAGCACTGAGACGTGCTTTCATTAACAAAACACAAAGTCTGAGTGCTCTGCAGTGACATTACCAGAGGACAGATTCCAACTCAGTGCCTCCACAAAACTCTCAAACCGAAAAAGTGCTGCAGTGATTATGGCTTTGGGATATGTATGAAATGAGATAAATAATAAATCACATTTGTTTTTCCATGAAATGGCTCGCTGGGGATAATCAACAATCTCTCTCTCTCTCTCTGCATCTCTTTATCTTCCGCCTGTTTTTTCGTTTTTTCTTCCCTTTTCCTTTTCTCCTTCTGCAGAACATAATAGCAGAACATGAGATCCGTAACATCTCGTGTGCGGCTCAGGATCCAGAGGATCTGTCTACGTTTGCCTACATCACCAAAGACCTCAAGTCCAGTCACCACTACTGCCACGTCTTCACTGCTTTTGATGTGGTAAGAACAGATACAGCTGTATGTTACTAGAACTTATATTTATAACAATGTTTTCTAACAACCATTTGTCTTTTATTCTCAAATCAGAACCTGGCGTATGAGATCATCCTGACGCTGGGCCAGGCCTTCGAGGTTGCTTACCAGCTGGCCCTGCAGGCCAGGAAGAGCGGTCACGGGTCGTCCACGCTGCCGGAGAGCTTTGACAGCAAGCCCAGCAAACCCGTCCCCAAACCTCGAGTCAACATCCGTAAATCTGTAAGCATCACTGCCACACAGGCGAACCGCTGTTAGAGGGAAAATCCATCTCAAACTGAAAGCACAGAGACACCAGTTTTGGAAAATGCAAAGTTCCTTTTTTAATCAGTGATAACGTTTATAAACTCAATTCTTTACATCTTATTGACATTTTTTTGTAATAACCTGAAGATTTAAATGATCATTCCCTTGTTTTCTTATAAAGAATTGTGTTTTTTAAGATGGATTCTCACTTTGACTAGTCGTAGCACCTTTCAACTCGTGATCTGAAATGAAGCTGTTAGTGGTGAAACGGATCACACTTGATCTGTTTGGATCATCCACCACCTGATTGGGACACACTAATCCGCGGTGAAATGGAAAATCAACATCAACATGGTGTAAATGTACTGCTGTGAAAAGGAGGCACAGTTTCAGTAGTGCATGCAGGCGCTATGGAGATTAACAACCAACGTTGTGCACACTAAGTGTTCATGCAGGAACAGGACATAAAGCGTTGATATTTCATTCTGCATGGTCACTTTGTTTCAAACGCTGCTGTGACTTTTCTTTGTTTCATTTTACATGTGTTCTACATGCAGATATGAGCTGATGGCTACACCAATCAGAGTAGTAACTTATGAGCCTGCTCTATTCTGTAGCCGTAAACTTAGACTACTTAGACTGTGTGGCCAATCTGATAACCGTTCTGATCCGGACTGTGAGTTTTGTGATCCGTTGCACCACTAGTAGCTGTTCCCGAATCAGCTTCAAATCACACTGAACCAACATCACATTAACTCTGTCCCATATTCACTGGAATCTGTCCACACGTTCCATCCCTCCGCTCTGACTCGTCCCGCTCTCCCATCCTCGATCTGTAACGTCATTTTTTTTTTTTCCAGTTTGAGTTTGGTTCACTTGGATTATGGTGGGATGTTTGTATTTAGAGAGTGTGACAGGGTGGCAGAGGTGTTGGTTGGATATTTGATCTGTTAGCGTCCATTCAGTCTTGTTGTCCCTGCAGTCTCTTACACACACCAGGCTGATTGATGAGGCCTGTTTGCATTGGGCTCAGGGGAGGTTTGCTCGCTCGCCCCACTCTGTGTGCATGTGTGTGTGCATGTGAGAGTGTATGTGTGTGTGCGTGTGTGAGAGAAGATAAAGAATCCCCATGCTGAACACTCCTACATTTAGCAGTGGTGCATGCAGAATAAATGTATTGACATTTCAGTCCATGAAAGTGTTGAAGTGTGCAGGTAACTCTGATGTGCCTGAGCGGGTGCATTGAGTATTTAGTTAAAAGGCTCAGTGCTGTTAGTTCATTAGCAGAGTTAGCGATAAATTCACTTCTTTGATTTAATCTCAGGTGATGAGAGGATGAAGCAGCGTACTACATTGAAATCAATGTGTTTGTTGTCATCATTATTACAATCGGGCCCTGTTTACTATTGTTTTAACAAGAGCTTCTTCTTCTGCAGTATCTTTGTTCACAATTTTCCACGCTTTGATTGTTACTGCCCCCTAACAGCGATCAGTGAAACAGAATAAGCACAGAGACAAGACACGGCCCCACCAACAGGATCCCGATTTCTCACACTACAAACAGCTTCTGAGCCCTTTAAAAAGTCGTCAGATTACGATTACGCGTCCAACAAGGTATTGACACTGACATACAGTCCTAGCCTAGATAGTAACGTCCCACATGCCATCATGATTCCTACGTCTATATGCAAAGTCTGGGGCTTGCGTCATGCCTCCTGCAAACACAGCGTCAGAAAGTCTGCCCGTAAACCCGTCAACCTCCCATTAACCCCGACGCAGCTTTAAAATAGTCACGCTAACCCATTCTGCACACATTTCCCTCCTCCACGGCCACGCATCAGCTGGTACTGCAACACACGTGTCAGAAGCATCCAGTATAGAGTTACTGTAGGGGCTATATCAGTGTGCTCGGATCACATGAAAGTTACATTTACATACCGTGAGTCATTGAAGAAAGAGCTGGTGATGGAGGAGAACCGGCGGCTCCAGAGGAATGGCCTCACTTTCTAAAGTTAGAGCGAGATGTGAGACAGTAAGGAAAGAAAATATGGTTTTTTTAAAGAGCACATGCAGTATGTGCGCGGTCCCGTGCCTACAGAGATATGTGAACATGCTATCTGCTGACTTGGCAACCATTACATTAACCATTAATTGCCTTTTTCAACCGTGTTGCGTGTGTGTGTGTCGGTGTGTTTGTGTGTGTGGAGTTAATGGCTTGTGATGTGCAGCAGGGCAAAGATGCTGCAGGATTCACTTAATATTCCTGCCACCTGCAAGCCATAATCTCCATCCTGCAGCACCTCTCAAGCCCCTGTGCTTTTAAAAAAAAAAACTGTTGCTTTGTTTCACTGCCCACTCGCGTCTGTTTTCAACCTGCCATTGTCATTTCTTATGCTGTGTGCGTGGCTATGTGAGCACAACTGCTCCAACACCTCTAACAAACTTCCCCTTAACCTGCCGTCATTAGCACGAAGGTGTGTGATGTGTGTGTCTTGTCTGCAATCAGCATCGGCTAGTCACCATAACTTGAAAAATGTAGCTTTGTAGCTACATGTCCATAGCTATGTATCATGTACTGTTAAGACCTTGTGTTCCTACAAGGGAGTGAAAAAGACTTCCAGTGAAGTGATAACAGCTTGTCGACAAGCAGCTGGTTCATTAATTTGTGCGGTCAAGGAGCCCTGACCTTAATAAAAGTTATTTCACCTCATTAGCAGAATTTGTCATCACTTTTTACTCACTTAGAAAATTTGGATACGAGCTAGTCTTAAGGATTTTGCACGGTTGTCGTAACCATTTTTATCTTGCTGGGAATGCTTTTGCCATGCAGGAGCTGCTATGTAATATAAATGTGGTGTAGCGTTGCCTATTCTTGCTGTTCTGATGTTCCTGCAGTAATGCCGCTGTCCCGGGCTGTTGCCAGGGCAATCATTCTGCTGCCTTGTTGTTGCTATGGTTCTGGCTTTGGTTTTGGAGTGGTGTTGCCTATCCCTGTTGCCATGCAGCTACTCTGTCGTTGCAGTGGTTTCGCCTTGCTGCTGCTGTCTTGTTTTTTTTTTTTGTTGGTGTGAGTGTTGCTGACCAGGCCTTCTTTGACCTGTGTATGACCTCTGCCCCTGTAGGTCATCATGCCCCCCCGCCAGCCGCTGGTCACTGGGCCACATTTACACCCCTCACCGGCCTCCTCTCCACCCTCCTCTTCCTCCCCCTCGACTCTTCCATCTTCCTCACAAAGCTCAGTCACAGGTCCTCCCTGCTTTTCCTTTTTCCCACATAATTTTCTTTTAGTCAAGAAGAAAGCGCCATTTGTAAGTGCTTCCATTCTTATCCTGTCTTTTATTTAACCTGCTCAACATCCCGTTGCCGTCGTGTGTTTGCAGTGACTGTATGTCTGACATTCACTTACCACCTCTACATCCATGTCATCAACCAAACATTAGTGTTGTACTTACTCTCTGATGTATGTCGCTTTGGATAAAAGCGTCTGCTAAGTGAATTGTAACATTGTAAAGAACAGATGTGACACTTCAGCTAGTCATAAAAAACCAACCCAGTAACTGCTAACAGAGACACGTGCTGCCATTCTCTTTCTTTAGTTTTTTTAGTGTGCCAGACTACACTGAATCAACTGTGGGTAAAAGTGACGTCCTTAGGCCAGTGGTGGAGCCAGTGATCTTGAGAGCCTAAATATTAAAGAAAGATTAATGAAAACTAATCCTGACCTTAGAAAGCTGTAGACCGAACACTAATTGGAGATGAGTTGAGGATTGGAGGGCTTCCTCAGTTTTACACTGAAGTGCAAGAAAGTGCTTGGGGACCTGCAAACCAGTGAGGGTCCTGATGGAATATTAAGCACCAGGGTCTTTACCATCAGCCACTTGGTCCTCAAGTCACTAAACCAAAGTGCTGTTGGTGTTGCAGCAAGATAAAATCTAATGGCAGATGTTTGTCGATGCCATTAATGTCACATATTACAGTTTCTTTTTTTGTTGGTGGGGGTTAGGGCGTCGAAATTGAATCACTTCTTCAAACTGTGACTTCCGGCACACGCAGTACTTGGGTGGTTGGCAAATTAAGAGGGGGTGCTAGGGATGAGTCAGCACTTCTGGGTTTGAGAATCAACTTTTAGCTTGAGTTTGACTGGCAAAGAGTTGCATAATGCAGGTAGAGTATGTTGTACCTTACTGAGGGAGTGAGCTGAAAGGTAAAAGAAACCCTGACACTGTCTGTGGCCTTTTGTCGTTGGGGCTGCTCCTATAGGAGGTAGATAATGGTGCTGGGGACGGGGATGTCTGGACTAACTTGCTAACGCTGGCTGCCAATTAATCAAAGCCGAGGATAAGCAGAAGAAAATCAATGAATGGAAGAACACTTGGAATTAGTTTTTACACAGTTATTTTCCCTCTGACATGGTTTCCCTCCCATCCCCATCCACATCTTCATCTAGCACATGAGCTATTGAATATTTAAAGGGTCATCAAAAGAAGCCTACACTTCCAGAGTTTACAATCTGTGCCAAAAAAAAAAAAATTCAAATATGCTTAGTGCAATAGACTTCCATTACATACAGCATGATTCACATCTGCTTCGGTACCTGACATTGCTTTCCTTTGAAGGTTTGCAGAGCCCCATCACACATCGAGGGTCCTTCAAGCTTTACGCATTTTCCTCTTGTCCCTCTCTTTTGGAGAACACGAAGAACTACTGTTGTTGTTAGTGTTGTTTTAAGGTTTTTCTTCAGCGGCTTTATTTGTGTCTGATGAGTTTCAGAAGGAGGTGACGCTCTGAACAAGTTCTTCACTGAGCATGATGGCCGGAGCTGCTGTGAGATGGAAATGCGTTTGTTCCTAATCCCGTAACCTTATAACAAGATTATAAGGTCTTGCCATGGCTGTGTGAGCGGGAGAGGATGGAGAACTGGATTCATAACAGAGTTAGTTTCTGTATTGTAGCTGTGGTCATGTGTTGAGAGAAGATAAGAGCGGCATTACTCTTTTACTGTACTGTGGAGATTAACTCTTTTTACTTCAGAGGGAACATTTATCTTTTATTAAAGTTGAAACATAATTTCAGTTGTATTTTATGCTTGTTATATATACATATATATATATATATATATAAGCTTAGAGGGAATGTGAAGGGAAGAAATGAGTATTCTACTATTAAAAATGCAGCCGTCACTGTAGTTCCCCCTCCCCCCCAAGTCATCTGAAAATGAACCAATAGAAAGGAGGTAAAACCGCCCTCAGCAACAAAACCAAAGCTACTTGATTGGTTGTCGCCGAGTTATTTTTGAAAGCAATGCAGCTTGTTTGGATAGTTTCTCAGCTTTGATGATGATGGCACATGAGACAAGAGGCAATAGCTTTGACAATCAGAATGTAGAGAAAACACACGAGAGTTTTACAGTTCTGGTAGGATTTAGCATTCTGAAAATAGTAAACTATAAGACATTATTTTTTATGTCACTGAGTTTCTGTCCATGTTCTCTGTTCTGCTTTCTCATCTGCAATCTGTAGTAGCTCATCTCCTTCACACATCTGAGTTATGGTTTATTATAATACATAGTAAATAGCTTTCCCTCCATCTCATTCATTCTACTGTCATACTCTGCCGCACTCATTGTCTTACTAACATTGAGCATGAACTTGTATTAGAAAAATTCCCCTGCAGAGAGTGCAAAGTGTGGATTTTTACCAGAAGCAGCTGTTGAAGTGAAGACGTCGCACCATTTTTTTTCAAAAACACGTCAATAAATGATTGTGGATTTTTCTCAGAATTGAGAATACTCAGGTGATTACAAAAAAAAAAAAAAAAAGTGTTCCTTTTCTTACTGCCCACTCCGTCTTCTTCCCATTCAGATGGAGCAGCCGTCCATGGACCAAAAGGGCCATGCCAACGTGCCATGGATTGTGGAGCCGGGTCAGGAGGCCAAGAGAGGAGTCAACACCAAGTACGAGACCACTATTTTCTAACATACACCCGCCTTGTCCACTCCTGTGTGTGTGTGCCTTTCAGAGGTTGCCCTGTACTGGGGCCCCGCCCCGGAGTTGGGCACGAGTGACGCACGCCGCCGCGTCACCTCACCGGCTGAAAAATAAACAAAACATCCCGCCCCGCCCTGTTAGCCGAGCCTGTCCACTGCATGATGACGTTTGGCACTGCGCTGTCTCTACTTCCTCCTTGTCTCTTTTCTTTATTTTGGCTCCCCCCCCTCTTTGGCCCGGGCCCTTCTCCTGCCTGCAGGGCTGGCGCATGATCTTTAAACCCGGGGCTGTGGTGCACTTCTGTCTCCACCTGTAGGGGAAATGGTCAGCTAGGTTTTTCAACTCTTCGTCGGTCAGTCAGCGGACAGCCAGGCGGCTGCTCTGCTTCTTGTTTCTTTCTCTTCTTGCTGTTGGGTGCATTCGTTAGGCTTCCCTCTCTTTATCTCCTCTGACTGCCTCCATCCCTCGCTTTTCACCGCATTTCAGCCCCTTTGTAAAACTCTCCCTGACAATTTGAATGAAATTTTTAACCAGAGTACTGCTAAGCACTGTGACAGTGTTCTAGCTGTCTGATGAGCCCCGTGTGGGAGCTGACAATGAGGAGGGCGGTTGTCAACACATGACAACTGGAGGGAAGTTCAGACTAAATAGACTTTTTTTTAACCAAACAGGAGAGCTGACTTAGAGGAGAAGCGATGTAGCACAGGCTAACTTTGACATACACTGGTTCATCCAGCAGGCTACTAGAATGTATTTCAACTTTTTGATTCTTTCTATCAGATTATTTTTTTGAATATACTTACAAACTTGTGAATTTTTTTGACAAACAACTTTAAACTTGACCTTTAACACAGGAAGAAGTCGGTGTTTTCCTTTCTTTATAGCACCTTCTTCAGCACATTTGTGTGTAAATGTTCAGAATTGTTTTATCCACGTGGATTTTTTTTCCCCCCTGGCCGTTAACCTTATTTTACTTAAGGGTAACAAATCTTGTGTGTAAAAGGTTTAGCATGTGGCTTGTGAGACGCATGGTGGCCATTTTTGGATTTGCTGAGCAGGGGGGGGCCGGTGGAGAGGCGGGGTGTGAGGGCTCTCTGGATAAGTGATGTCATCTCATTTGCAGGGCAATGCCGGACGCTCATGTCTATTACTGTGGAATGCAAAGAATGTAGCCAGCCCTAAACACGGACCTTGTCACACATACAATGCAAAATGGACTACAAAGGACCCTCTTGCTCACTTTGCAAAGGACTACAAACATGGACGCCATTCCACAGTGTTTAAGGTTGACTACAGAATTATAACGTTCATCCACATGATGCTTGACACAGTTAAACACACACACACACACACACACTAACAGGACTGCTTATTGACCGACAACAGTCCGGTCTGAATGTACACTTGTTTGAAAGCAGCATCAACTTTCTTCACTACAACAGGATCCGTTCAATGTGCCCGACTGGGAGGCGTGACCTGTGAACATTTGGGTGGGCACAGGGTCTCTATAGAGACTGAGTTCGGTATCAGGGCGACTATTGGGCTCGCAAAGGCACCGCTGGGCATGTGTCAGTGTTGGAATGGGCATGGGCTTGAGGACTTCTGGCCGGCTCCTTTTTTTTCTTTTTCTTTAAAGTCAGAAAATAATCCAGAGATATATGCACAAGCGTTTTAATGTGATTGGACAGCTGCAACACCCTCGAGATGCCACAGGCGTGTTTATCAGGACGGATGATGAACCTATGTGAACAAAACTGCATCTGGCGTTTAAAAAAAGTATTCTATTGGTATTGCCCGACATTTTAATGTTTAATATGAGAGTATTATATTACCATGATGATTATGATTATTCTTGTGCAATTCTTGTCTACTGTTGTCTTAATGTTACATTATTTTTCTATGATATGATGAGATAAAAAAAACCTTGGGCTTGAGAATGATGGTCATCCTTTAAAAAAAATAAAATCTAAACCTAGATGATCATATACACGGAGAGAATGTTGAAGGTGGCTCGCTAACTCTCGTCAGGTCAAACCCTCCATCATTTCTCATGGGGCTCTACTCTTATCTAGCAGATGTACTATTTTAAACGCAGTATTACTGTATTATTTGGATGAGACATTATCCAATTATAAATGTACATAGATATTTTGCCAACTCATTGTTCATAGATGTAATGTAAAAGAGAAAAGAATAAAGGATTGCAGTACATGGCACTGGAAACAAGGTACCAAAATAAAGGTTGGAGGTGAAAGAAGTGGTAGGTTGTAGAGATTGTATTTTGGGTGGAGACTGAAAGACTGAAACGGATTATTTAGTGACATCACTGCTGACCAACTTATGTACATAGGCTTGGGCTTCCAGCACACTGATTTTTGTAATTTTGGCCATTATTTATATCCTTGTAAAGCACATGGAATAAACTATGACTTGTAAAACCATTATTTATCCGGGGGATACGTTTGTCATGAGTTGTCTGTCATTGCTCACAAGCACTACATCGAATGTTTATCTTTGTTCTTAAAGGGAATGATGATGAAATGATTTAACAGAGTGTCAGACGTTCAGTCAGATGATCTAATATGTTGATGCTTATTCCTTATTGAGTATAAAAGCTGGGTGCAATAAAGGAGAGTCATGAGTCAAGGTAGGAGAGTACATCTGTCTGAAACCTGAGAGGAATCTTTACTCCTGCCAGTTTATCATTTACCGCCGCCCTTCTGTCCGCTTTATCCCCGTCTGAGTGCTTGTTTTACACAAATATCAGTAGAATGTTTTAAAGTTATGTTTACACGTATCAGAAGGTTTTTAAAAATGTTTTATATGCATATCTTGGGGAAACCTTGCTAAATAAAATAGTAATTTGATACAGTCTTGCGTCAGGCTTTGAAAATGAATAATTGTGATTCAAGTCGTCTAACATTGAAACTAATGATACACAAACAGGCAGCTTTAAGGTACTGAGAAATGTCCCACACCTCGTGTTGGATGTAGAAGTAGACCTCGATGGGCAGTGACTCCTGAGCTCATCCTCCAGCACCTGGATCGCACCTTAACAGTGAGACAGAGACATGAAAATTATTTCATCTTTTTAAATTCTAATATTAAAGCATTTTAAAACTAAATCTACATATTAAGAGAGAGAGCATTGAGAGTTTTTTATTTTTTATTTTGCTTGAAGCCTTGTTTACAAATCAATAGGATATTGATCCCAAGATTTCCCTCAGGTCGAACTCACGAGTGAGATGCACAGCGTCAGGTTGTGAAAGTCATTAGTGACAAACAGAAGTGCAAAAACTTGGTGAGACGTGTGAGCCCTTGTTCCTTATTGGCCTTAACAGCTAACTCATTGACCACAGCCACTCTAATAAATTGAGTATTTATAATCAAAGTAATTATGTTAAAATGCTAACATGACCAAACCTTTGAGCACTGACCAACAGTGTATTAATACAAGGATGGACACAGGCAGAGTTAAGGAAACATTTACATAAAAGCAAGCACAAAGTATCAGGCCAGATGGATTGTAATACCAACTATCCACCTGGAGAAGATGACCTGGTGACCCTTACTGGTTAAAAAGGCTTTGGGAACACAGCTAGCTCTAAGATCATGTCACAACACACAAGGTTAAATTAAAAACACCTCAAAACAGTAAAAGACAAGCTGCCAACGTTGCAGCCTTTTGACCTTAACGGGAAAATAACAGCTTACACTCCTATATATAAACGTCGCCTATATAAAAGAGAGCTTTAGTCTCCTTTTGTGTTGAACATTTTTGCGTATCTGATTCTTCAGACACAACTGGCAGCACAATTGACATTCAAGAAGCTCTCCGTCCACTCCACTCATCGGTTAAAGCTTTTTTTTCTTCAAAATCAATACGAGCAATTTGGACTTCTAATGAACAGATTAAAAACAACGATCAGGTGAGTGGTCTCGGTCCAGTCTGTGTCCTCACCCTGATTCAAATCAACATTGAGACAGCTGTGGAGTTCATTGACTCTGATAAAGAGGTCTGAAGCAGGTTAGCAGTAAGCTGCCTTTTCATTATTTCAATCAACTCAGACACCTCCGCTGACACCTTTATTCTCTACGGAGCGATAATCAACGTCTCTGGGTTGCAGTGATTACCAAATCACTTACAGTTTGAGCCTCTGGGTAATGTAGGAAAAGCACAAACATGCCTTGGTCGACACTGCCATGATAAACCATCAGTGTGCCATCACAGCAGACGGTTATTGACTAGAGGGAGTTTGTAGCAGAAGAAGCAACAAACCTCTACCAGTGTGATTCATATACTATATACAGTCCGTTTCCTTTCACATTCTCAAACTGCATTTTCATCCAAATAACTGAACAGGAGGCCGTTAGATTGTGACAACCATGCTGAGAGCCTGTTCCAGATTTGACCCTGTCTGCACTAAATTTCAGCCCCCCTAGAATCAACAGTGTTGTTTATCAAGCTACACTTCCACCATGAGAGCCAACTTAGCATGTCGTCTTAAATTCAGCTGCCACCACATCTCTTTTTTCCCTTCAAAGCGAGCGATGAGAGATTTTTTTTTCCATTAAACAAACATGAAGAGGCTGGCAAGGGAGCTGGAGCCGCTGTGACTGCGCTCGCTACGTGTCCCGCCTGGATTTGACTGACAGAACTCACAGCCAGAAAGTAAACACGACCCCGTTTACAGTCACTACTTTTAAATGAACTCCTGGAGCAAAAGGTGAGTGTGTCTCAGGTAAACAGAGGCCCTTAACGAATAGTCACAGTTCAGTAGGCAGTACTATTCAGTAGGAGTTTCAGTATACTGAACTTTCGTGGTCATTCAGTATGCATTTTTTGGGTCCACCTCAGTAGACTGAACATTTCAGTGTGGATACTAACTTCCGGGTTTTATGCAGTATGGATCGGATGCGTCCTTTCAGGAAATGAATTGTATTTTACCACCCACAATGCAGTGCGAAATTAAACGTAAATCGTCACGTCACGTCCGCCTCCAAATCAAAACAAACAGCGTGGATTAATTTAATCAATTTTTAATCTAGAGTTAAAGTCCCGACTGAAATCACTACTTTAAATTAACAACAGACAATATAACAATATCTGCATTATTATAAAACATTTCTCCCTCTATTTAAATAATGATTTCACTATTTATTGATTTATTTTACTTCATATTCTGTATATTACTGTCTTTCATTTGTACTTTTCTTTATGTACTGTATGTTATTTAATCTGTCTTTTACTTGATTTACATTGTGATGTTGTTTTTTGTTTACCTGACTGTATATGCGCATTACTCTTCTTGAATAAAGATAAACAAAAAAAAGATGCAGCCGGTTCGAGAAACGTAAATGACGTCACTTCCATACTGAATGAATCAGAAGAAGTAGGGACAAATATCTGCCTACTGTGTGTGCATACTGAATAGGAGGTACTAACAGTATGCAGCACGGATAGTAGGTACTGCATACTGCCTACTGAAAGATTCAGTATGTACTTGGCAATTCGGATACGGCCAGAGTCTCTTTGTAAGATCCAGCCGCTACACCTGTCAGATTATTCTAATAACTGTACATTACTCCAGCATACATTCATGCTATAATGTTTGTGTTATGACAGTCGGGTCTTTCTGGATCCTGTTTATGATCCTGAGCATGTGCAGGATTTTTTGCTGAACCTTCTTGAACGTGCTCAATGTTCAGGAGGAGCTGAAAATGATGAGTTTAATAATGAATTAGTCAGACTAAAATGTGCTAAATGTTGCTAAGCGCTGTGCTCATGATGGATTAGTTGAGTCTTTGTAAGATAACAATGAGTAATTGTATTTTATCTACTTTTGGGTTAGTGTCTTGAGAAATCATTTGTTTTGAATTGGTGCCATAAAAATAAAGATTAATTGATTCACTAAAATGAAAACAGCAATCCAAAATGTGAAAGGCTTCTTTTTACTGTTTTCTCACACAAACACCTTCAGATTACAAAAATATAATGTGAAAACATATTTCAAAAATACAAACATAATTGTTGGTTAGTCCAAAACGTGTCACATAAATATTGAATCCAGCTTTCTAAAACTCGTTCACCTGCTAATTTCATTTTCAAGTCACAGCCACAGGTTGTGAATATGAATTAGTTTGACTTCTTCGCTCTATTATGATTCCGTTTATAGAATCTGAGTCTCTCTGGTTTCGTTGTTTTTTTTTTTTACAGTTTTAGTAAAAATATTAAAGTACGTTTAATGCGTAACCTGATTAATTCTATAAGGCATTCCATAAGAAAATCAGGTCGAGGCTTTAGCAGCAATATAAACTGTATAAAGAGGTTACTCTCTTGTGTTATAGCGACGTTTACACCACTAGTAGCTGTTTTACACACCGTCCCCATCCTATAAAAAAAAAGAAAAAAAGAAAGAACCTGGTGCGTGTGGCAGTGTGGATGAGTGCTTATGCTCGAGTGTCTATTAAACTACAGTGGACTGACATTTACAGTGAGCCACTGAAAGGCTGAACAAGCATTTGTCATGAGCTATAAACCTCAGTATGAAGAGCCTCCCAATCTACAGCTGCAATCTACAGCTAATAGCAGCGAGCGCCGGGCTGTTTGCTGAGATTGGAGGAGGGAAGAAAAAAAAAAAAAAGAAAGCGAGGCTGCAGCACATTTTCTCGCAAGATTTACTGCCAAACTGCAATTTGGTGCATTCTGTTGAAAACCGACAAACATGTCATTGTTTACAGAGAGCAGACCACTGCAGGATGAGGGGTAGGAGGTAATTCAAGGCTGCTTCTTCTTCTTTTTTTTGTGTGCGCAAAATTTAGAGCAGAGGTGGATAGTGGTGTTGCAGTAGCTGCTGTATTTAGGTTTCCCAAAGCTCAAACAGCTCGTATTTTATTTCCTGGCAGACATGGAGGCACAGGACTTAACAGAGCACGACGAGAGACAATGAGGGAGGAATAATGAAGGGGGGACAGGAACACATGGAGGAGAACTGCACAGGGTTTCTTTTTTTTTTTTTGGGACTGTGAAAAGAAAAGATATTGGTTTGTATGTGTACATTTCTGAGCGTATTTCCCTGTCTGCATCGAAGTGGAAAACAGGAAGAGTCCATGCTTCGTTTCAGTGTCTGTGTCAGACTGTGGGAGAGGGCCAGAGATCCAGATGGTAGTCACTGCCCACGGCTACCCGCTAACTATGTAAAAACTGCTCATGTGACAAACAATATCTGGCTTCCCGTCAAGGGGGACAGCTTAGATAGATCCAGATCCTCCATGTTTATCCTGTGTGCGCACTCAAATCCACATTTACACGCCTCTAATGCACACACAGGGCCAAGAAACACCCAGAAAGTGTGTGACATTCAGAAGAAAGGCTGCATTTGGTAAACTGGCTACACACAAAACATTTTTATTTCACACCTGGCAGATGTGGTGCAACAGCTCT